AAAATGAGGACAGTCAAGAATGAAAATGAGATTAAGGTAATTGATTTGTATTATCCCTTTTATGGTAAATCATAATGACCTGCTACTAATGGCTTCCTCACTGATATTTCATCAAGCAATATTAAATGTAGCTAAGATCATAAGTCATTTATGCACCTCGAAGGACACCAGAAGCCGGATGTTTCTTTGGTAAACTGTGTGTGCGTGAGTCTGTGAAGTTCCCTTGTTAGCCTTTTAGGAATGACCAGAACAAAGTCCTGTCTTTTTAAAACCAGGGGTGGGAGTGGGGGGAATCCCTTAGTTTTGTTAGGTCACGTGATCAAACGTTTCCTTTTGACTCTTGGCTGCTCCCGATCTTTTCTTCCTACAGGAAGCACAACAGCCCCCAGCGAATCTGTCCAAATCACTTTAAAATTTTTTTTTAAATCCTATCACTACCAGGGCACCTGGGTGGCTCAGTCAGTTAACAGTCTAACTCTTGATTTCAGCTCAGGTCATGATTTCTGAGATCTCATGGCTCATGAGATCGAGCCCTGCCTTCAGGCTCTATACTGACAGTAGGGAGTCTGCTTGGGATTCTCTCTCTTTCTCTGCCCCTCCCCCACTCCCAAAAATAAATAAACTTTAAAATAAATAAATAAGATCCTATCATTACCTTTCATTTTTATGGTTCTTCATCAACCAAGGGATAGATTCTACCTCCAAATATTCAGGACCCAGCACACGTGGCTCCTGAGACCTCTTCCTCTCACCTCTGCTTCTGTCCTTGCCCGGGAGGGCAGCTCACAAAGTCTCAGTGGCCTGGGACATTCCATCCTGCAGCACCCCTTCCTCTGGGTTTTGCTCTGTCCTGCACTGAGGTCTGGGAACTGGAGGTCCACGTGGTGGGTTTGTTCACATTAGTCACAGAAAAACACAAAAGCAGAGCCTCCCCGTCCCCCCTCCCCCCGCTCCCCACCCCTGCACCTGACCCTGCACAGAGGGATGCTCACAGGCGGTCGGCCGCTGACCCGTCCAGAGAAACCTGCCTTCCCAGGGCCACGTCCTCTCTTCTCTGACCTGAAGTCCCCAAGGCCGCCGGCACCGCAGGGAAGTTCACGGCGCTCACGGAGGAGGCGCTCACGGAGGAGGTGCTCACGGAGGAGGCGCCCGGGCTGCACAGCGGCCGCAGCGGCCCTTGCACTCACAAAAAGTGACCCAAAGCTCTCCAACAACCAAAAAAGAACAAAAAATAAATACAAAGCAACTGCCACTAAGATAAATGTGGAAAATGTGGTTGTGATGATTTATTCTAACGGAGCCTTCGGCCACATCATCTCAGAACAGCATCTTCAACTGTTTCCCTTTCTAAAAATACGGCGCGCCTAACCACTGCAGCCATGCTGCAGCCGAGGGAAGTCAAGCCAGTATTGATATTTTCGATTCTAGTTAGTGTTTTAAACGACCTTTGCCTTAAAGCTTCACCAGCCGAGAGCAGAGGTGACTGAACGGGGCCTCACGGCTGCAGCCGCGCTCACGGGCGGCCCTTCTGGCCCCAGGTCACGGCCAAGTCAGAGTTTTTCCCGGCGCAAGATGTCTTTTCTTGCCAATGACATTCTCCACTTGAAGGAAAAAAAACCCAAAACCCAAAACAGAATTATCTTTCAGATTTAGCGTCTGCAGTCACAGAAGTGCGATTTGGGGGTGGTTTATGGTTCCTGAAGACTGTTTCTCTTTATAAATCCCAAACATTTAAAAATATCTTGTGCTTGTGCTGAAATGTCATTTTCTGGTATTTTGGCCTCTTCAACATGAAATCTTTTGTGCCTATGAAGCCAGTTCACGGCTCCTGGAATTTGCTGGAACGTCCTGGGAGGTGGGTGTGGGCAGGAAAAAAGGCTCGGTGGGGTCCGCCTGACAGCGCCTTTTCTCCAGGGAGCCCCCCTGCCTCCCTTACACGTGAGGACACTCTCCAGATCTCTGGGCCAGGAGAGATGCCCGAACCCTAAAATGTTAAAGTTGACGTTAAAGAAAGAAAAGGCCGGCACGCTCATAGTTCCCAAGGCCTGAGGAGAAGGGGAGGAAGAATCACAAATCTCGAAGCCCGTATTTCCTCCTTCCTCCGGGGGTGCAGGGAGCCCCCGCAGACCCCCCCCCCCCACGCAGGACGGCTCCGGGGCGTATGGGCCGCACTGGTCTGCACTTAGGGGTCCAGCAGGATGTGCCCGCAAGCTGTCTGGTCAGGCAGTGAGAGGCCAGGGGCGGAACCCGGAGCCGGGGCCTGGCGGGAGGAACGGGGGCCTTTAGGGACCTGCCCAATCCCAGCCCAGGCTACGGGTGTCCCTCAACCACTCCCGCCGGATTCCTACCCCACAGTGTGGACCCTCCCTACGCTTCCTCGGCGCAGCGGCCGCCCCGTCTTTCCCCTGCACACACTGTCAACTCAGGCCGCGCTCTCACTTTGCCACCACCCCCCTCCCCGCTCGGCCTAACGGGAATTCAGGTCCTGGTCACCGGGTGCCTCCAACTCGCCAGCCGAGCTGTCTAAGAAAACACGATCACACTTGATGCGGGACTGGAGTTGGGGGCGCCGCCTCAGGCTACCACGTGGCCACTCCTTGCAGAAGGCTTTTCACTGCTGCCCTGGTCTCCCCAAACTTGCAATCCCCCCTCCACAGCGGCGCTCTCCGCTGGCCACCAGGCTTCCCAGGTCACAGACACAATACAAGCCACCAGAAGATGACGGCAGAGCCTCCTGCGGCGGGCCACCACCTGGGTGCCACCCTGTGTCCTCGGCCCTTCCCCCCACCCCCACTCCTCCACAAGCCCACCTGTACAAGACGCACCGCCCACCTGCTCCGGAAGAGAGGTCAGCAAGGTGCTGGCTTCATTCTCAGTTTCCAGTCTCTGCCCAAGGGCTGCCCTGGGCACACGAGCTCGCCGCCAGTACGCTGGTGACTCCCCTGGCCTTACTCACCCCGCCGGACACCACCCCTAGCCCACTCCCTCCGCGGCCCAGCGTCTCGGGACAGCGGTCAACAGTCTCTCTCCCTGTCCTCGCCTCCGGCCGTCTCTCCGCAAACACTCCAATGGTGCCTTTGTCCACAGCCGCCAGACCCCCATGTCACCTCCTGTTCTCCCCAGAGCCACTGGTGAGTGACCCCAGAGCCTTCTCAGCCCTCACCTCGCCTGCACCGGCCGCTCACACACACACCCTCCCCCCGCTGTGAGATGCTTCCGTGCAGGCTTCCAGGATGCCACACTCTTGATCTCCCCCTGCGTCCCTGGCTGTCCCCTCCTGGTCTCCACTGCCGTCTCTTCCTCTCCACTCGCTCCCCCCAGAGCTGGCATGTTCTAGGGCCCCGTCCTCAAAACTCTCCCCTCGCCGGGATCTCCTCTAATACCGGCACAGGCCCCAGACTCCCGTGACCCGGCAGCCAGATCTCCGCCCTCCGCTCTCAGGTCTGCACGGTCCCCTCCGCGCAGCGTCTGCCTTACCATCTCTCCCCACGCTCAGAACCCAGCTTCCCAATCCTTTCTGTAACCCCACCTCCTCTACCCGCGGATGTCCCCGTTTCTGTGGGTGACAGCTCTGCCTAGTGACCGGCTAAAACCCTCGACATGCCTACAGCCTCGCCCCTTCCTCTCACACGCCACACCCATTCTGCCAGGATTCTGTCTTCAAACTGTATCCAGAACGTGACCGCTTTTCACTCTCTCCACTGCTACCTTGGAGCAAGACACCATTATCTCTTGTCTGGACGATAATGGGTTTCTCTACTGGCCTCTAGATAGTCTCCTGGTCCACCCGCATCCTCCACCCCCTGCATCCTATATGCACACAGAGGCCAGAATGAACCTATTAAAATGCAATGCAAATCCTGTCCATCCGCTGCCTAATACCCCACGCTGATTGCCCATCAGAAAACCTAGAATTCTCGGGGCGCCTGGGGGCTCAGTCAGTTAAGCGCCCGACTTCAGCTCAGGTCATGATCTAACAGTTCGTGGGTTCGAGCCCCGCATCAGGCTCTGTGCTGACAGCTCAGAGCCTGGAGCCTGTTTCAGATTCTGTGTCTCCCTCTCTCTTTGACCCTCCCCTGCTCACACTGTCTCTCTCTCAGAAATAAAATATAGATAGATAGATAGATAGATAGATAGATAGAATCTAGAATTCTCCAACCGCCTGTGATGCTACACATGGTCAGCTTTCTGTTCAACCCCCCCAAACTCACTTCTCTCTGCTGGTTTCCCTCCAGCCACCCTGCCTCCTTGGTGTTTTCCCACCCGCCAGTGGGCCTCTGCACCCACCCTTTTCTTCTAACTGCAATGCTCCTGTCCCAGACACCAAGTGGTTAGTCAGCACAACTCCTTAAATCCGTGTTCAAATGTCAACTTTTTAATGAGCCCTTCCTGGCCACCCCCCTTTCGAGCTGCAACCCGCCCCACCCTCCACACTGTGTCTACTTTTTTCTTCTCTCCACAACATTCAAGGCCTTGTAACGAAACGTATAATTTCCTTCTTCACGCTGGCCGCTGTCTGTCGTCTGTCTCCCCGCTCCTCCACTCGCATCCCCACTCAACTAGGATCTCCACGAAAGCCGGGGTTTGTGTGCTGAGTTCAGTGTGTTCTGAGTGAGACCAGCACCTGGCATAACCCTGGCTTCTCGATGAATTAATAAGTCAATGGGACCTTCGATACATCTTCTGAACCCGTTTCCTGGTCCACAAAGCTAGACGGGCAATATCAACCCCATGGGTTGTTAGAAGCAGCAAATGAGGGCCCACGTGGAAATCTTCATTAAACACTAGTTACTATAACAGCTTAACATATGTTGAGAAGCATCCTTAAAATTAATTCAGGAGCAGTGTATTCAGCAATTGCTTACATGGTGCATGTGACAAGGTGCACAACCCCCCCCCCCCCCCCCCCCACGGCAGGGCTATGCTCTTTCTGGTGGCTGAGGTTCTACTAAGATATAAATGAAGGGTTTCGAGCCTTCATTTTCCAAATTCAGAATTACCTCCGGGAAGTCCTGAGGGGAGGAAAGGAACGGTCTTCTGGCCACGTCCTGGGGTCCTGGCGCTCCTACGTGCATTCAGCCGGCTCCTCCCCTCACGGCGGGCCGCCCATACGGAACCGTGGGAGAAGGTCTCGGTCCTGGGGTCCCTCCACACCTGGCGACCTGGAGCGGTCCACACTCAGCAGGGTGCCCGCCACCTGGGAAAGGCGAGGACAGCACAGGAGCTCAGACGCAGCTTGCAAGGAGGAGGCTGCAGGGACCATCGTGCTGACGTCCAGCCTCCCCAGCAGCAGCCTCTCAAATCTCCGAGCCAGGACGGGAAGCTGTTGATACGATTACTAAAACCTGTATCAGACCCAGCATTTGGGAAGTATCCTAGTTCACTGGGGAGGTCTGTGGTATAACTAATTCCACCAAGGAGTTAACAGATAAATCCACCAGCACAGGTAATTCTCAGATAACAACTTGTCCCAGGTTCTCCCTTCTGTCCCCACCCCCCTTTTCCGTTCACAGCCATTGGATTTCTCCCAACTGGATTCCTAGAGGCAAAGGTTCAGGTCCACGGAAAAGCTTACGAATGAGACAAGATTATGTTGACTGTAATCCCTAAGGCAACCACTAAGAAAATAATTTAAAAGTATGTAAAAAAATAAACAACCGAATTAAAATGGTATACGAGAAACTATTTCGCGTAAAAGAAAAAGGACATGAGACCCATGGGAAATAAATAGCGAAATGGTAGGCATAAATTCTACCTTATGGCTAATTATGCAAGATCATCTGAACACTAGTCAAAAGGCAGAAACTGGTAGAATGGATTTTTAAAAAATGCACTGTTAGAGAAGAGACGCATTTCAGAGCAGCATCAAAAAGATTAAAATATTATAAACTTAACAAAAGACATGTGAGGCTTGTACAGTGAAAACTACCAAAACGTCATTGTAAGAATTCAAAGACCTGAATAAATAAATGGAAAGACATCAGTGCATGTAGGCTACAAAACAGTAAAGATACCAATGCCCTCCAAACTGATCTTCAGATTCAAATGTAATCCCTATTCAAATCCCAGTTCCCCATTTTCTTTTTTTGTTTGTTTGTTTTGAAATCGACAAGCTGATCCTAAAATTCATAGAGAAATCCAAGAGACTCAAATAGCCAAAAGAACCTTGAAAAAGAAGAGCCAAGTTGGAGGAGTTGCACTTCCTGATGTCAAAAAAAAAGCTACAGTAATCAAGATAGTGTGGGACTGGCATAAGAACACAGAGATCACCAGATTAGAACTGCCGGTTCAGAAATAAACCCATACATTCATGGCTGATTGTTGACAAGAATTCCATGACGTTTGAAAGGACAAATGACAGTCTTTTCAACAAATGGTGCTGACATGCAAAAAATGAATCTCGACACAGACCTTATAACTTTCATAAAAAAATTAACTCACAATGGGTCAGACCTCAACGTAAGAGCTAAAATTATAAAACTCTTAGAAAAAAACATAGAGGGGTAAATCCTTGTGACCCGCAATGAGGTACCAGTTTCTTAAATACGTCACCAGAAGCACAAACAATAAAATAGAAGCTAAAATGCTAAAATGTCATGTGTCAAAAAACACCATTAATAAAGTAAAAAGAAAAAGAGGGAAAATACATACAAAACGTTATGTCTGACAGGGACCTATTATCTAGATTATACAAAGAACTCATACAACTTAACAGCAGAAAGACAAATAACCCAAATCAAAAATGGGCAAAAAGTCTGAATAGACATTTCTCCGAAAAAGCCATTCTATGTACAATAAGCACAAAAAAAAGTTCAACATTCGATTACCATGCATTTTGTATGTTGTATGTATTACATACTGTATTGTTACAATAAAGTGACATAGAGAAAATAAAATGTTGTTAAGAAAATCGTAAGGAAGAGAAAACACATTGACAGTCCTATATTTTATTTAGCGAATGTACATATTAGTGGACCCATGCATTTCAAACCCATGTGGTCCAAGGGTCACCTATACTTTAAAGTGGTGAAGCTTACCTCAGTGAAACTATTGTTAAAAAAGAGGTGTGCCTGGGTGACTCAGTTGGTTAAGTGTCTGGTTTTGGCTCAGGTCATTATCTCAAGGTTCTGGAGTTCGAGCCCCGCATCAGGCTCTGTGCTGGCAGCATGGAGCCTGCTTGAGATTCTCTCTCCCTCACTCTGCCCCTTGCCCCCACCTCTCAAAATAAATAAACTTAAAAGAAAAAAAAAAAAAAGAAAGAATGAAACATCAGGAGCACCTGGCTGGCTCAGCTGGTGGAACATGTGGCTCTTGATCTCAGGGTCATAAGTTCGAGCCCCATATTGGGTGTAGAGATTACTTATATAAATAAACTGTAAAAAACAAAACAAAACTGGATAAAGTATAAAAAGAGAAAGGCAATATAACTCCTGAATTTCCCAAACTCTCTTTCCTCAAGTACAGTGTCTGCTCAGGAACATAACACCAGCATCTGAACTTGGCTTATTTTTAGGCATCTCTGGTCAGGGAGCAAAGAACAAAATCAATTCAGTTTTGCTAGTCACTTCAAAGAGGGGCATCAGAGAGCAGCAAAGGTTTAAATCTGAGTAGACATGAGATACATCCAGATGGATAAACCCACAGCTATTCCTTCCTCGCTGCCGTCTACCATGACAAGCTTTCCTAAATGCATTCTCTTGTGATGTTCATGGCCAGGCTCCTGAGTCCAAAGCCTTCCATGTTATGGCTGAGGCTGAGAGTTCGACCCGCCCCCAGCATCACCTGGCCCTTGCAGAGAACAAGCCTCTTCCCTGCCGAAAGCTATACCTCCTTGGTCCTGAGGCATCAAGATACGGACTCCAGAAAACGTGACCCCACTGCTTGCAAGTCTATTCTCTGCCTTTACATAGCAATACACTCAGACCCTTCCAACTGCGAACAATACAATAGTCTTTTACTACCTGCTTCTCTCACTTTTCCCAGGTTAGAAGAACCAGTAAGTAGAATGATAATCTCCAGCAGGAAAGGAAAAGGTCTCTGTTCAGCCGGTGCGCTGGCAAAAGTAGATTTTTCTAGCTGCCTTTTAAAAAGGTTTATAAAGGGAGGCTGCATGCAGAGCTCTCAACCCAGAGGGGTGTGCTGTGAGCCCGCGTGGCTTGGAGGCTGTCCGCGGGATGCAACCCCTCCCCGGACCCCACCTATCTGGAGCCCCACTGCCAGGGGGCTGCCTGCCCCTGCACTGCCCAGCACCACAACCAGGCAGGAATGAATGTGCTGTAGCATTTCCTGCGGTGGCCTTTTTGCCCATGTTGAGTAGGAGTCGCGGCAGCCTCCAGCCGGGGTTCGATTACCCGGGGATGAAGCACTGCTCTCAGCTGCGCTCTGCCTGCGGAGCTGCACGGAGAGTGAGTGGCCAGTCAGTCCCTCTCCTGACATTTTCCCACAGGCCCGGCTATTGTTAGTGCGCGGTTCTGCAGAGCGCCCGAGCGCACGTACTGCGGTGCTGCCGAAACACCGGCGTGAGTGCTCAGCTAGCCACCTTTCCTGCGCTACCATCTGCTGAGATCCAGGGTAGGAGTGACACAAAAACGGATGGGATGTGGGGCGCGTGGCTGGCTCGGTCGGAGGAGTACGCGACTTTTGATCTCAGGGTCATGAATCTGAGCCCCATGCCGGGTATAGAGACTACTAAATTAAAAAAAAGAAAGAAAGAAAGTTAAAATGGCTGGGATATGACCTTGCTCTGAGGGAGTTCAGACATTGTATCTCAAGGTCCTTACATTACCCTTTGAAAGCTTAAGAAAAGTTACTTGTGTTAGTGTTAGCCGTTTGAAGTGTATGTTGCTTGAACCAAAGCATGATACACTGAAGTGTGGGATGAGGCTTCTCATTTTGTAAGAGTATGCTCCTGTGGTAATTTCGATTTCATTTCAATATAATTTCATTAATCCACTCCTTTACATGAACACGGATGCTACATCAAATTATGAACAAACGGCTCAGTTGTTTGGGATGGCCTGAGAAAGCCACACTGGTGCAAAATCATGCATTAAAGAAGTTATTCTACTCATTTATTTCTTTCACCAACTGCATGTCTATCAGTACATAAATGGGTCCTGTTAGCACATTATATATAAGATTATTCTTTGTTAAATTCATTCACCAAAGAACAGCTGGAATCACCTAAAAACACAGGGTTAGGGATAAGCATTCCAAACCTTTAGAGATTTGATATATACACATATGCATATATACACTCAGATATTCTATATCAACACACATATATGCACTCAAATATACATGGTAGTCAGGTATTAAATATATATACACTCAGATTTTACATATGTACACATATATACATACACTCAGATATTACATACATATATACATACACTCAGGTATTACACATATACATATACACACTCAGGTATTTTATATATATATACATATATATATACTCATACATACATACGCTCAAGTATCATACATAACGACATTCAGATATCATATACACATTCAGATATTATAGATGTACACATATATACAAGCACTCAGGAATTACACACATATACACACACATATGTACATATATACACACACTCAGGTAGTATATATATATATGTATATATATGCACTCATATACATACACTAAGGTATCATACAAAATCACATTCAGATATCACATATACACTCAGGTATTATACACGTACGCATATATAATACACTCAGGTGTACTGTATTATATATACAGTATACTGTATTATATATATCAGATGTTACATATATACACACTCAGGTATTATATTCACACACATATATACAGTCAGATACTATATGCACATATATGCACACACAGACGTAGATTCCAGGTAAACGTCAGGACTAGTGGACGCTGCTGAGGGAGCACAGTGGTCAGAAACGGGGCGGCGGGGCCAGGCTGAGTGGCGCGCCCACCCCACGCGGCAGCTGAGGTGCGAGTTCACAGCAGTGGACAGCAGTGTTTTAGCCAAAGCTGGCTTTTCCAGGTAACCATGGAAGGAGAAGAAAGGACCACTTTCCGGAAGGAAAAGGAAGGAGGGCGGACGTAAGTGAAAACCGAGAAGGAAGCAGGACTGGGGGTCCCAGCGGGAATGAAGTATTCAGGTGCACGAGGAGTAGCTGCAATGGGGGAGGACGGTGATCAGAGGGGGTGCTGGG